TAGAAATTTTTATGTAATGATGTAAAATGTATTTAATAGTATTTAAAGCTAAATGTTCTTGAATTTAGAGCTTTATGTCTTACTTAAGTATATCAGCGATAGATAATCAATAATCCAAAAAGCAAAGATAGAATTTGCATACTTAATTGAATTTTTTAATTCTCAAAATGATTCAGGAAATAAAAATTTAATCTAAAAAATATATTAATAATCTAATACAGTAATTAACTTCAAAAAAAATAGTCTTATTGACAATGTATCTTTTTGAAAGATACATACATGTTTAGACACAATGGTATTTAGGAAAACAAAACATGGACCTCAATTGTTACATTAGTAAGTTCAGGCAGATTTTCTAAAAAAAAAATTCAGTTTTGTATCTGTTAATTTAGAATTTGCACCACATGCAACTAAAATATGTAATAGACAACTAACAATATTGAAACGTACATAACATATGCTTCAAAAGAAATGCTTTCTATTATATACAAAGTAGGCAGTAATCTGTTACTTACTTTTTGTGTTTATGATATTGTAATATGTGTTCAAGAAAGTATATCCAATTATCTTTCTATACGTATAGATTAACTCATATTATTCTTATCAACACTCTGTCAATTTAATAAAAACTTTCTCCAAATAAGTCTGTACCTACCCAATAGATTAGCGATTAAGAAAAAGTGAATTATTAATTAGGGTAATTAAACGAATTACCATGAAGTTAATATTCATAACGCGTAACAGAAATCTTAGCTGTATTATAAATCATACATCTACGCCATGGTGATTTATTCATCTTCTATTTGTATCAATCTATGAATAAATTGTGCGTTATTGTAAAGATATGAATTGAAGAAGCTTTTAATTCTTGTAACTCACTCATGTGAAGAAACCACAGAGTGGTAAAATGATCATAATGGACAAATAAATTGTGTTCTGAGCCTTGACATTGTTTTGTTTGTAGCCTGCTTGCTACGGATTTAACCGAGTTGTGGGACGAAAAAATAAAAAAAGAATGAACTTAATCGTGAAACATTTTATCTGACACCTGATCTAGAGCGTTCCGATCGGAACATGCTCTTCGAGAAAAGGACAATCACCTTGAACCAGAATGAAAGTAGAATCAGAGAAGCATGACGCTAGAATGTACACCCATGTATGTATGTATTTAGGCTGTCTTTGGTTTTACTTATTACTTGAAACAAAAAAGTGTACCATGTCTAATTGAAATAGATACCTATAAAAGAATTAGTGAATTGTATTAGGTTGTCCAAAAGAAAATTACCTACTTTTATAGTTTCAATCAATCCAGTTAAAAGTACGAAAGTACACTCATTACTTACACGGGCCAAAGAATTAGTAAGGCGAAGTCAGTGCCGAGAAATTTTTATTAACAGTTGGAATATTGTTTTTAAATAGTACAAAGAAAGAATATTTCCTAGTGGATTATATATTTGCTATAGAATATTAAAAATCTACACCTTTATATAAAACCATTTTATGAAATTAATAGTTTTGTTGAACCTCACTGTTCTTTCATCCATCTACACATGTGAATATATATGTACATGTGGTTCAGATAGGAGTATTTTATACCATTTTAATGCTTTTTTGACTGATTTATGTCACAAATTACTTGTTTGATAACCGTTACCTGCGACTAAAGAGAAAAAGTTTCGTCCAAGAGGTGGCATAAGACATATTACAGACAAACGATTAGGCAACAGGGTAATTTACATTCTTGTCACAGTTATTGTGTTGTACGAGGGTGGATTGATAAGTTTCCGGCCTAACCAAGAGATGACGCCACTAGGCCTACCTTGAGGTGACATTCTATAGTACCATCCTTGGATAGCTTGTAGCTATAGTTTCAGCCCGATCTCCTTGCTAGTGTAGGTTTGACAGCACGCTGAACAAGACGCCTCTGTGGTTTTCGTAAAAATGGAAAAGCAGGAAAATCGTGCTGTCATCAAATACTTTTATTTGAAGGGGTTAACGCCGAAGGAAATTAAAAAAGAGATGGACTCAACACTGGGGACATCCTCCCCGTCATATTCAACCGTTAAGCAGTGGGTTTCCGAGTTTAAAAAGGGTCGTGTGAGCACCTCTGATGGGCCTCGCTCAGGACGCCCCGTTGAGGTCACAACTCCAGATATGATCGAAAAAATTCATCAAATAGTGCTGGGAGACCGCAGATTGAAAGTGCGTGAGATAGCTGAGACCTGTAAGATGTCATATGAACGTGTGCAACATATTTTGCACCAACATTTGCATATGGAAAAGCTCTGTGCAAGATGGGTGCCGCGTTTGCTAACAGTCGACCAAAAATTGATTCGAAAAAACATTTCTACCGCAAATTTGTCATTGTATAAGCGTAATCCAAGCGAATTTTTGCGTCGATTCGTAACCGTTGACGAAACGTGGGTCCACCACTACACTCCTGAAACCAAAGAACAGTCTAAACAGTGGATTGGACCAGGGGAACCAACTCCAAAGAAGGCAAAAACAATTTTTTCGGCGAACAAGGTTATGGCTACTGTTTTTTGGGATGCAAGAGGTATTATATACATTGATTACCTTGCAAAGGGTAATACTATCACTGGTCAATACTACGCAGACTTATTGCAACGTTTGAGCCACGAGGTGAAAATTAAACGACCTCATCTGGCGAAGAAAAAAATCTTGTTTCATCACGATAACGCACCAGCGCACACGTCAATCGTTGCGACGGCTAAAATCAACGATCTAAAGTTTGAATTGATGCCGCACCCTCCTTACTCTCCAGACCTAGCCCCGAGTGACTATTTTCTGTTCCCTAATCTCAAAAAATGGCTTGGCGGTAAGAGATTTGCGGACAATGAAGAAGTAATCGAAGCTGTAAATGGTTATTTTGAGGAGCTTGACGAATCAGTCTATAGAGATGGCATTAATAGACTGGAACACCGCTATGAGAAATGTATCAGCCTTGGAGGAGATTATGTTGAGAAATAAAAAAAAAAAATTTTTAAAAACCTTGTTTTTCTTGGTCAGGCCGGAAACTTATCAATCCACCCTCGTATTATGTATATACAACCAAGCGGAGATAGGTGACAGTAATTCTAACAATTCATTTTGTTAGACATTCACAAAAGCATTTCTAAAATTTTGATTTTGGTTTAATTA